TATGCATCTCCTGGAGCACCAACTTATACATATGGAGCAGAAGCGTATGCACCTCTAGTGCCTGGAGCCCCAACTTATGCACCTGCAGCAGCAGCAGCACCGTATACACCTGCAACAGCACCGTTTGGGTCACCATACTTAGGAGCAGCAGTCGGTGGGCGAGACAGTCCCTTTACCCTCCGCCCCTCGCCATTGGGCAGTGACGCGCCCCTCATTCCATCACTGCCCAATTCGCCATGCTATGCTTCTCCACCTTCGGTAAGCGCGGCTCCAACTTAAACTTGCTCATTTATTCACGTATTTATACAAATACAATCAGAATCATCACTTTAATGTAATACAATTAAAACAGCATATTTTATATCACTAGGAAACTTAGTATTTGAATTTCCATGATGTAAAATAAATCATGATTCAGTTATAAGAAATTATATGACTCTCCTGGTCTTAAATGCTCAAAGCGTTTCTAACTGTCTGCAGACAATTCAAGATCTAGCGAGGGTGGGCGCAAGCTTGATAGAGGAGGCGATGGCTAACGGACTTGTCACTGAGACCGACAACGTGAGTGAACCCTTTCTTTGCAACATCTGCAACAAGAAATTCAACAGTTCCCACACGTTGTCCGACCATCTCAAGAGCAACAAGCACAAGAAAAAGGTGAGATTGTTTCAGTAAAGAATATACACAAGGTGAGTGAATGTTGTTGTGGCACCTCTGATGCCAGTGTTGTTACAACTCTGATGCCAGTGTTGTTGTGGCACCTCTGATGCCAGTGTTGTTGTGGCACCTCTGATGCCAGTGTTGTTGTGGCACCTCTGATGCCAGTGTTGTTGTGGCACCTCTGATGCCAGTGTTGTTGTTACACCTCTGATGCCAGTGTTGTTGTTACACCTCTGATGCCAGTGTTGTTGTGGCACCTCTGATGCCAGTGTTGTTGTGGCACCTCTGATGCCAGTGTTGTTGTTACACCTCTGATGCCAGTGTTGTTGTTACACCTCTGATGCCAGTGTTGTTGTGGCACCTCTGATGCCAGTGTTGTTGTTACACCTCTGATGCCAGTGTTGTTGTGGCACCTCTGATACCAGTGTAGTGGCACCTCTGATACCAGTGTTGTGGCACCTCTGATGCCAGTGTTGGTGTGGCACCTCTGATACCAGTGTAGTAGCACCTCTGATACCAGTGTTGTGGCACCTCTGATACCAGTGGTGTGGCACCTCAGATGCCAGTGTTGGTGTGGCACCTCTGATGCCAGTGGTGTGGCACCTCTGATGCCAGTGTTGGTGTGGCACCTCTGATGCCAGTGTTGTTGTGGCACCTCTGATGCCAGTGTTGTGGCACCTCTGATGCCAGTGTTGTTGTGGCACCTCTGATACCAGTGTTGTTGTATAAGTACCTTTGAGGATAAATACTGTATGTGTCATTGGCAATTATGTTTGTGAGTGATATATTGTTATTATATTGTGGGATGAGTCCAAGTTTGTGACGCACTCTTACACTCTACAGGAAAGTGACAACCTGCAGAGGCAGACGTCCTTGCCGCTGGCCAGTAATGTCTCCCCCAGACTCCTCTTCCTCAACGAGGTTAGTGGCTGCTGTAGCGACACCATCAACCTTACTAGTACACCCTTAGGCACTCCAGTACACCCTCAGGCACTCCAGTACACCCTCAGGCACACTGGTACACCCTTACGCACTCCAGTACACCCTCAGGCACTCCAGTACACCCTCAGGCACACTAGTACACCCTTACGCACTCCAGTACACCCTTAGGCACTCCAGTACACCCTTAGGCACGCCAGTACACCCTCAGGCACTCCAGTACACCCTCAGGCACACTAGTACACCCTCAGGCACTCCAGTACACCCTCAGGCACACTAGTACACCCTTAGGCACTCCAGTACACCCTCAGACACTCCAGTACACCCCCAGACACACCAGTACACCCCCAGACACACCAGTACACCCCCAGACACACCAGTACACCCTCAGGCACTCCAATACACCCCCAGACACTCCAGTACACCCCCAGACACTCCAGTACACTCTCAGACACTCCAGTACACCCTCACACACTCCAGTACACCCTCAGACACTCCAGTACACCCCAGACACTCCAGTACACCCCCAGACACTCCAGTACACCCCCAGACACTCCAGTGCACCCTCAGACACTCCAGTACACCCCCAGACACTCCAATACACCCCCAGACACTCCAGTGCACCCTCAGACACTCCAGTACACCTCCAGACACTCCAGTACACTCTCACACACTTTAATACATTCTCAGACACTTCAGTACACCTTGGAACAATTACTTTTGACCTTGATCTGAAAAGTGCACAATTAATGACTGGGATTTAAATTAATATATAAGATTGTAACACTGGGTTGATGGTATATGAGATTACTTCCAAAGTCATTGGCACGGCTGTCACAGGTATGACATGATCACGACATGCAAAATACTCATGGAAATTGACTGGAATGACACAGAATCACTGGAACCTAAAAGGGAAGTGAAAAAAGAGAGAAGGGTGGAAACAATAAGAGAACTCTGAAACGGAATGGTGTGGGCAAACTCCATGCATAGTTTTAAAATGTAGATTATAAAGAGCTTAATAGATTTTAAAACTTAAACACAAGTCGATTGAAAGTTGAGAGACGGGATCCATGAGCTACAGTTCAACCCCCTGAAGCTAACTAGTACTGTTTGTTTATCTGATTTTATGTGTGCTATGTGACAAGACTTTGATACAAACTGTTGTGTGATGCACACATCTGTTGTGTGATGCACACAAGATACACACAGTCAAATAGCAGAGACCAGCTTGGTGTTGTCAATTACCTTCCTCGTGTGTTGACGTCTTGTCGTCAACATAGTCCAGGAGAACAACAAACTCTTGGTGCATATACACGGAGAAGCCGGACACCTCTCTGTATATGTCTCCAGGTTCTGACATAATATATTTACCCTGAGGAAGCCAAGGTACGCTCAAATATACAGCACCGTGGGGCTAATTAGTAATCACTTGTTTAAATTATTATATATAAGACAACAAAATATATTTAATTAAAAAAACTACATTAAAATTGCTTACGATTATTGTCAATTATTCAATGGTTATAGTTAGTATATGTCTAAGAACATATTATGGTTAATATTAATTAGTTGGTTATTAGGGTTCACCTTACTGGATGGAAGGTATATAATAAAACGTAAAATTTAAATGTAAAATTGTTAAATGCTCATGACAATAATGGTGCCACCTGACCACCTACAGAACAGCACTACACCAGGGCGTGACTCGTACTCTCTGCTCTCCGAACCAAGAGGCTACGTGTACGTCTTCAATAACAAGTTCCTTGGTCAAGGCAGCAACTGGCAGCGCAATGGAGCTGAAATGGATTCTCAGAACATTAATACAACTTTCACCAGAATGGGCTACAGAGTTATCATCCATGAAGACTTAACAGGAGGAGAGACTGAGGAAGCGTTCAATGCTATCAGGAGGAACCCCGACTTAAATGGAATAGATGCATTCATCGTCTTTATACTGAGCCACGGAAAAGATGCTTATACATTTTATACCAACGATCAAGAAGAACAATCTCTTTTCTACGTGCGAAGCTTGTTCAGCAATAGAAAATGCCCTTCCTTGAGTGGCAAGCCTAAGATTTTCTTCACGAACTACTGTCGGGGCGACGCACTGGAGCGTCAGGACGTGGACGCCGTGCGAGACGTTCCTAAGGACATGTTCACCATCCACGCCGCGTCTGAGGGCATCATGGCCAGGCGTCACCAGAGGCGCGGCACCTACTTCGTCTTCTGTCTGTGTGACGTCCTCACACGGGCCACCCATCCCCTGGAGCTACAAGACCTCTACTCTGACCTATATGATCAAATGGGGCGTGAAGGAGCCACGAGACCAATGAATGAAAATCATGGCTTCGTCAAAAAATTTTACTTCAGTCGTCAGTAAATAATAAGAGATGATTAACACAGAATCTGGCCAGTGAAATTTTTTATTCTTTATATCAAAAGTAAAATCTTTCCACGAAAAATAATTTAAGAACAGTACGGCTGGAACACGTGTTTTATCCAATCAGATAAAAGGCAGGTCACATGGATAAAATCCCGCGTTGAAAAATTGCAGACAAAAATATAGCGAATAAAGAATATATATATATTAAAAATAAAAATATATCACTCATCCATTCAATATATATTGTATTCACGATGAATATACTGTATAGCATAAGGGATAAACAGGCCCCACCACACTCCGGCAGTCGCCCACTAAAGTTCCCCCCCCCCACATAAGGTGTACAGTGCATCGTGCAGTTACAGCCCCGCTCCTGTGCCAGGTAAGTCCACTATGGGCTCACCATAGCCCGTGCTACTTGCAACATTTTGTTCCCAGTAGCTGAATCTTAAACAACAAATGCATCGTATACAGTATTAGCGAGACCCATTTTGACTGTACATCAATTCTGATCACCGTACTACAAAAAAGATTCGCTAGATGAAATACAATACTTTGTTAATGTATTTACGAGAAGAGAACTTGATATTTTACCTGCAGCTGAACAAACTATGCAGGCGGTGAAGAGATGATGACTATGTTGTTGTTGTTTTAGATTCAGCTACTCCGAACAAAAAGTTGCAAGTAGCACGGGTTATGGTGAGCCCGTAGTGGACTTACCAGGCACAGGAGCAGGGCTGTAACTGACTGATATTGACTAGGTTACTGGTTACCAAGGGGGGAAAATATTAAACAAATGGCGCAATTAAAGCCCACCAAGTTCCCAGGGCCAGACAAAGTATTTGCTAGGGTGCTTCATGATGAGCTTAGTAACTCTTTGTCTTGCATATTTAATAAACTATTAAGAGTCGAGACAAGTACTAGAGTCGTGGAGGGTTGCTGAACATCTATTGTGTAGGAACATTACTTGAATCAATGCTCATAATCATAATTCGTTTACATCTTCAGAAACACATTAACAGAGGTTTCACAACATAGTTTTATTCTATGTTATTATTAGTATGTTATTGATCCAGCAGTGGGGATCATATAGATATGATCAACAATCATATCTATAAATATTAATAGATACGATCATCGATTATTTTAAATCATTGAATATAGCAAATTAAGAGAAAGTATCCTAATCAAAATGTTAGATTGAGCGATTACCATTAAAATCCGCTTAACACGATTACATAAAATTTAATGGTTGAAAAAAGTTCAATATAATAATAATTTTGACTGTAAATTTCAAGCAAATGAAATGAAGAACCATACAGGTAACTGGTCTTGCATGTCGACAGAGTGCGAATGGACGAGGGCGGGCAGTGTACAAGGTGACTTCGACGCCTAGAGGTCATGTTTACGTCTTCAATTATAAGTTCCTTGGTAGCAAGCGTCAGCGCAATGGAGCCGAAAAGGATTCTCAGAACCTCAATGAAACTTTCAGCAGAATGGGCTACGAAGTTTTCATCTTTGAAGACTTGACGCGAGAAGAGACTTTGACAACGTTAACGTCGATCAGGAAGAAGGCCAACTTGTCTGAAATAGATGCGTTCGTCCTCTTTATACTGAGTCACGGGAAAGATCGTGATTCTTTTTATACCAACGACGGAAAAAATATAAGTTTGTTGGACATTCGAATGATGTTTACTAACAGAGAATGCCCTCACTTGAAGGGCAAGCCAAAGCTAATATTCGCAAACTTCTGTCGAGGAAAATATCGCGAAGTTGAGTTTGATAAAGTACCTTGTATGGAGGTTCCAACAGACACGATAACCCTCTACGCAGTCGCTGAGAACATCAGTGCTCTAAGAAATTCCCGCGGCACCTACTTCGTCTTCTGTCTCTGTGAGGTCCTTAAGAAGTTTGCCCGTGAGCTAGAACTTCAGGACCTCTACTCTGAGCTCTACAAGGAAATGAGAGTGCAGAAGAGCTCGAGTCCAATGACTGAAGTTCATGGTTTCACAAAAAAGTTTTACTTTAATCCTTCCTAATAAAGCTAAAGTCATTGTTGCCAACAGTCCAAGTGGAGTGCCAGCAACCACCACTGTAGACAAAATCCAACTGCACATAGGAAAAAAATGTTATATTAATTTCACTGTAACATCAACCATATAGACCACAAAACATGGATTTCTTTCGTATTTAATACATCTTCAGAAGGATGGATTTACAGTTCAATGGGTGAAGCTATATATAAGCAGGAAAGAGGTTATATGTATTATATATATATATATGTCGTACCTAGTAGCCAGAACGCACTTTTTGGCCTACTATGCATGGCCCGATTTGCCTAATAAGCCAAGTTTTCCTGAATTAATATATTTTCTCTAATTTTTTTCTTATGAAATGATAAAGCTACCAATTTCATTATGTATGAGGTCAATTTTTTTTTATTGGAGTTAAAATTAACATAGATATATGACCGAACCTAACCAACTCTACCTAACCTAACCTAACCTATCTTTATAGGTTAGATTAGGTAGCCGAAAACGTTAGGTTAGGTTAGGTTAGGTTAGGTAGGTTAGGTAGTCGAAAAAACATTAATTCATGAAAACTTGGCTCATTAGGCAAATCGGGCCTTGCATAGTAGACTGAGAAGTGCGTTCTGGCTACTAGGTACGACATATATATATATATATATATATATATATATATATATATATATATATATATATATATATATATATATATATATATATATATATATATATATATATATATATATATATATATATATATATATATATATATATATATATAGGGAGAGAGAGACCCGCTTAGAGCGTTACGTATAATCCGGTACTGATCACGCATGCCAATTTTGACCTCATTATCCAGATGTGTATAAGTAAGCTCACTATTCATACATAGAACAACTTCTGATCATGTGTTCAAGAACACACAAGTTTACTGCCAATTTACAAGTTTTACCATAGTTTATTGGAATTATATATTGCACAATTAGTGATTTTTTTAATGTATATATATATATATATATATATATATACATAAAAAGAATAGGGGTGGTAGAAGAAAATATCAGTGTTCAATGAGGATCCACAGATCTTCTCTGAGTACTCTTTATTTTCTTCTCCGAGGCTATGGGTCCCTATACTTGCACCAGAGGTGTTGTATATATATATATATATATATATATATATATATATATATATATATATATATATATATATATATATATATACAGTATATATATTTTTTTCATAATTATGTTTCTTATGACATTTTCATCATCATATCTAGATAAAAAACTATTGACTAAAATTCAAATTACTTTTAAAATGTTATAAAGTATATTATATTTACAAAACACTAAAATAAGAATGATTATCTTAAAGTTAAGGAAATGTAGCTGACTTAAAATGGTTTTGTGTTGGGCTTTATACCTATAAGCCTCTAGAGGGTTGTTGTGACCACCCTCATGCTTACTGACCAACCAGCAGTATACTTTAGTCCTGAACATAGTCAAATGTGATGTAAACTCTCAGTGTTGTTGTTGTGTTGATTTAGGGGCGACGACGATCATGGGAACTCTCAGTGTATCTACCCTAGACAATTACACTTGAACACCCTACACTTCTACTAAAGTTATGAGTTGACTGGAAGGAATGTGATTCCTAAAGATATGTAACATTATTATTTCACCCAAGTTAACCAACTACTACAAAAATATGCTAAATAAAATTCAGTATGTTAAATAAATTATTAAAAGTGAAGCTGCGGCTGAAGGCTTAAAAAATAATGCAATACTGTTTATATTGTTTTTGAAGCCTTTAGTGTTTCTGTAAGGAAAGGGTATCTAGAGTGTATAAACATTAATATGCATAGTGTTTGTACAGTGTACATACCACTTCTTAATATTAACAGAATTTCTTGTTGTTGAATATCTTTTTTGACAAGTTTTTTTTCCATAACATTATTTAGTTGATTAATTTGTGCGAAATTTAGTTATGTACTTGTTTTTCGCGCGGTTGGCTAATAGGGTGTTGTAGTGGCCTCCCGCAATTGATAGGTCTTTAGTCCAACACCAAACTGTGTCCACATTACTATCTTGTTGAGCATATAATGAGAGTAGAAAGTGTTGTGCCTCTCTTTATGGGTTCGGCATTCTAAAGAATACCCTGAAATTTCCAATTGTCCTCCGAAATACCTTACATATTATGTAATAACTCACTATAATTATGTGAGGTCTTTCCCTCTATATACGCCAGCAAAAACAAAAACAAAAAATACAAATAGACTAAATGCTCAAGGCGATTTGCATTTGTAATTGCCAGAAATTTCTCCTTATATTAAAAAATGCAAGGAAAAGCAATTGCATTAACCTAGTAAACAATGTTTTTAAATATAAAATAAAAATTCCGTGTATTTTAAAATTCCTGCAATTGGGAAAATTATAACAATAAATATCCATTCCTTTTTGTATTTTGTAACTTACCAATTACTGTACTATTTAGCATAAACTTTCTAAAAAAAAAAGATAGCAATTATGCACCAAGAAGTGTAGCCTGCTTCTTAGTGTATATACATGTATATTGATAATGCACTTTAGAACTGAGTTGTGTTCAGAACTATAGTATACTTACATGAGAAAATATGGGCTTTAAAGTATCTCAGTACTTAAAAGTATCTAAAAGTAAAAGTATTAAACTTGGGTTGTGAGTACCAACTGGAGAACCTGCAACTTCCGAACGTCAGTTATATCTGGAAGAAATTAAGAGTTAGATACTTGTAGCCTATCATGGTACAGTTGGTAGTGCGTCTCATGTTCAACCCCACCCATGATATTTTATCATAGTCATTATGTTATTGTATCTCTTTGTGCATGCTTCTTATTGGTCTGTAAGCTAGTGTTGTGGCCTTAAATAGCCTCAAGAGGTTGATAGGCCCTCACATCAAACTAAATAAAATTTTTAATGAATAATACTCTAGTTTTTATTTACATGTCTTACCTGCTTGAAACCCTGGCTCTTGGTCAGGCATTCTGGAACATATTTTTGTATATAAGGATTCCGTTGCTTTACCAATTTTGAAAACTCGTTAAAACAACGAGTTTTCACTCGTTCCTCACTCACAATCAACCCCCACACTCACAATCTCCCCCCACACAATCTACCTTCACACTCACCATCTCCCCCACTCATAACCTCCCCCACACTCACAACTCCCCCCCCCCACACACACACATCACCCCACTCACAACCTCCGGTAAAAAAAACATAATTTACTCCTCGCGAAACCTCCCTAGCCTACCGGATATTTATGATCAATTCCCCTATCCCCATAACATATCTGGTTTCCCCCACCACTGCATTATTTCTCCCCTTCACCGTAACATTTCCCCTCCATCTCCCCTTCCCATTTTTCTCCCCCACGACCTCAATATTTTTTTCCCTAAATCCTCCCTCCTGCCATTTCAGTTTTGTATTTCTCCCCCACCACTTCAATGTTTCTCCCTCAACGCCCTTGTATATGTCTCCCAACCTCTATGATATTACTTCTTTAGAACCATTAAAATCCCCACCAGCTCAACGTTTTTCCTCGCGTCTTAATTTTTTCCGCCAAACTATCTACGGATCTTTAATTTTTGTTCCACAAATATTCTATTTCTGCAAAAAAGTTTGCTTCAGGCCACATTATTTCCGACATATTCAGCATTTCTCCTCACCAAGCCCACCTTTTTCTCCAACAAGCCCTCATTTCTTCACATCATGCTCGCATTTTTCCCTCACTGACACTGCATTTCTATATTTGCCAGTTAATTCGAAACTACCTGCTTATAGTCTCACCCACACCACTAGCATTCTTTCTCCCCGCCTTAATTCTACAGTATTCCCCACCTGTCATATTACCTTCCCTTTCTTTCCCGTTTTGATCGGCATTTCTCCCCACCCGTCATCTTCCCTCTCCTGTCCCTCCCCCTCCCCTTACAAAGCCCCGCGGCGGCAA